TGGAATTTTATTCAATCTATGAAGCCCACCGAGATGATGACAGACAAATTCATTTAAAGACCACGTAACTTAAAAAATAATTCTACTTTTCATACACAAGTGAGATTGAATAAAAGCAAAAAATTTTCTACTTTGTTATGTCATACTCATTTTAATTATGGGAACATAATTACATTTTCTCTATCATTTGCCTTCTCTTTTCCTTCCTCATCTTTTATTTTTATGTGGCTGAAACACTTTCTTTCTCCCCAGCACCTCATTCTGGCCTCTTGCTTTGTGAGTGTATCTGTGAACCGTTACAATGGTGGGGTATGTGAAGTAGGGGTAGAGATTCTGTAAGAGTGAGTGTCACACACTGCCCTTAATTAAAACTAAGGAAAATTCTGCCGCTGGCTTCTTTTTCTAACAGCATTTTATTAAGCGCATATCCATACTGTTATGCTGTGTGCTAACTATTGCCATATATTCATTTATATCAGTCCCTAAATGCTATCTTAATGGATGAATTTCATCAGGGGCGAGAAGCCAGAGGCTGCAACTAATTTCAGTAGATCCTGGGGACAACATAGCCCAGGCCACTGGGAGACTGCCTCCCAAAGAAAGACTTTCCTGTTGTTGGAAGTCTCACCCAGAGCTGCAAATGTAGAGGTATGAGTGGCCCAGAAACCACAGGCAGTAACCAATCAGCTAATCGTAATTCCAAAGGGTGAGATAATCTTCCCACAGTGTATCATTAGAGTGTGATGAGTTTATCTCTTTAAAGCCTCACAGCCTACTGATACGCTCTGCATTTTCTTGGCCCTACCTCTCTCTTGAATTTATCCCTTTGTCTTTTACCACCTCTGATCTCTTTAAGCCCTTATTCTCCTCTTTCCATTTTCCTCTCTGCTCATTCTTCCTTCTTTTTTCATTATCACTTTTTCCTTAGATTAATTTATAGACAGAAAATGGAAATAATAATTGGGTTACTTTTCATGAGGAAATCACTAACATTTCCATTTCATTATTCTAAACACATAAATTTATCTATAGAAATATGTACAGAACATGAGACAAAATACACGCCAAACATTGTTTTTGAATTGTGGTATCAAAGATAAAATTATAAGTAAGAACTTAAAAGGCTTTTGGTATATTTTCATATTAAAGGGTTATTTTGCATTTATTAAGTGTCATTATTTGGAGAAAAATGTAATCAATTACAGGAATTCTATATATTTCTTTTCCTCACCTCCTTGTTTTTCATGCTTGAAATAATTGGGAAAGCTTTCAAAATTGTTACAGATGAAGTTATTCTTTAATCAGAGTTTGGAAAGACCTATTAGATCACAAGCTCATGCTGAGGATCCACAGGAGTAAAATTCCAGGGTGGGGATGAGTAGTTCTGTTATGTTTAGCCTCTTATAGGAATTACATGTTACTTACGTGAATAGACCCATTAATGAGTATAGAATGGCTAATGGCTGTAACGCAGGCACTCTCTGCCTCACTAATCTGGAAACAAAGAACTCATTTGAGGGTGTTAAATAATAAGAGACCTTAATCTTGAATGCTTAACTGAACTTGGGTAGTTATTTAGTGTTTTATTTACCCAAAGTGTGTTCTTGTCCTTTCTTCCTGCAATTACTGGGGGCATAATACCATAATGTTTAAAATAATAAACATGTACCTACAGAAACTGCTAAGAGACATAACCAAAAGCAAATTCTTCTTGGGGGTCTTTCCTGGTTTTTAAATTCTATTTGAGAAAGAGTAGAGACCAAATATGCTTTATTATAGATTCCTTACTGGAAATGAACAAGCGGTAGGATAAGATAATGGTAGGTAACATTTAATCAGCATATACTAAGCGCCAGGTTTTGTTATAAGTGCTTTCTGTACCTTGTGTGATTTAATCCTCACAATAATCTTATGTGGTTGTTACTACGTTATTATCCCTTGTTTCATAGATGAAGAAACTAACACAGAGTAACTTGGTTAGGATTACAAAGCCAGAAAGTGACAGGAATTTGAACCCAAGAGAGATCTTGATTTTGGAGCCTGCCCTTTTGACCACTGTGCTCTCCTGTCTTTTTGAGATAATCAAGATAGTGTATGTATATAGTTTAAATACCCTTTTACCATGAAGAGTATAAAGAGTTCCTAGCACATAATAAGATCTCAATTTAGTGAATATTTCTTGAATATAGAGATGGAAAGGCCTTAAAAGCATTATTTAATAGAAGAAAGCACTCGCTTTTGGTTACCAGGGTGACAGCTCTTGCAGTCTTACCTATTACATCTTCAAAGAACTGCTCACCTGAGAGGTGGAAAGATGCTCTTCCTCTCTGGATATATTCATGCTACTATACTTACCCGTAAAGTATCTTCTTATGAATAGGTGAGGGGTCTCAGGTCTAAGGGGTTGGTAAGTAAACAATAAGTGTTCAACAGACTAAGTATTATGAACAAAAGTGTGTCTGTTTATATTGGGAAGGAGAGTGATTGTCAGAAGAATTTAGAGCCTAAGTCGTTTTCCTAGAAGTGATGTGGATGGACTTTTGCTGCTCTATCTACATTTGAATCTGAAACTTTTTAACCTAAGGTACATCTGTGTGTATACCAAGAAGGTAGTCTGTGAACATTGAGAGATGCTCACTGGCTTGTGGGTAAGTTGAACCTATGTGAAATATGGTAATAGCTAACTCAGGTAACCAGCCATATTTCAAAGCAACATCTTCACTCAATAGCTCTCTTTTGTAGCTTCTGCTCTATGTTCTATAATTGCCCCAGGTGTAGGAATGTCCTTTTGTCCTTTCTGTATAGCTAGATTACTGCAGTTCTCAAACAACTCAAGGGGATAACTTACCTTGGTGAAACTACTAGTCTGACAGTAGCCCTTTTGATTTTATTTTGCTTCGGTTATTGGGATGGTAGCTGGTTGTCCAACTCTTTTCAAGTTGCTTCAATTCAAAACTGGCCTCAAGGAAAGGAACCTGCTGATGCTGAGTTATACATAATTTTCAGAATTATTCAGAAGTGAGTTGGAACAATTCCTTTAGTGCAGATTTTTCCAATGTGTGTTAATAGGGGAAAACAATTCCATGTTCAAGGGAGTTGAGAAAATGCTGGGTTAAAAGAGCTAAAAAGTTTTCTGCAGGATTCCCAGAGCCTTTAACATGATAATGAGAATTATGCATCTGTAAGATGGCAATAGAGTACCCAGTATCTCCCAGACTTACTTGACCCTGGAAGCCTTGTTTGTTAGAACATATTCTGGGACCCATGTTTCTTAGCAGTACATAGTAGGTAGGAAGACAGACAATGGATCCTGATTGCAAAACAAAGTACTTAACTTCTTTGTACCTCAGTCTCCTTATCTGCTAAATATGGATAATAATAATACCTACTTTACAAGGTGGTTGTAAATATTAAATCACTATATATACATATATACAATATCCCATTACTAACTATAGTATATGTTAGCTATTGTTACCACTATTTATTCAGCCCTCTATTTACTGATGATATAGGCTCCATATACATCTAAAGGGTAAGTTCTAAAAGTCGTAGAAAGTTTTTGTGAAAAGTCAAAACTAGGGAACATCTGAACTAGGGGATACTACAAAGACCTTGAGTTTGGGGAGAAACTCAACATGAGTTTCCAGTTTAAATCATCTGTCTAGTCAGTATGGCTGGAGAGTCATGCTGAAATGAAAATGTTGACTTTGAGTAAAGGTAAAAGAAAAAGGGAAAATTTAACAGTGGTAAGAATTATTCTTGTATTCATCTAATTTGGACTTGGTTGAAATAGAAAAATGTCAAGTTATGAGTAGTGTGTAACACTAGACATCAAACACTTAAAATTGCCGCTTCCTGTATAAATGCTATAGAAAGAAAGAAGTTGGTTGATAATGTCCAGCCTAGGAAGAAGGTGAAGACAAAGCCATATAGGAAGTGGCTTAGGCAGCAAATTATAAAGGTGACCACCCATTCATTCAAAACAGTAAAAAAAACCAATATACCTTATTCTTTAGGTTAAAAAAGAAAAAGATCTTTGTTTCCCAGCAGTCCACAGAGAATTAGACTGTAAACAACAAACAAATAAAATAAGCTGTAGAATGGCAACCTGTTATGGAATCCCAGAAGAATTAAAAAGGTAGGACATGAGTCTTAGACTGGAAGGCATGACTTCAGGACAGGCCTGGCCCAGGGCGGACTGGTGCTCCCCCCCATAGGTGCGTGTGCGCGTGTTCTCATAATACAGGAGGGAACGCTCCCATCCCGGAGCAAGGGATTCAGTTTGGGGGACTGTGAGTGAGCCACACTAAGTAAAAACGGGAGACTTGATAGCTTGTCCTTCAACAGACCTGTCCGAAATGACCGTAGAAAGTAAATACCGTAAATCACCGTTGTCAGGGCGCACATTCCACCTCCTTCCTCCCTTCCCCACAGCCGTCCTCATTTCCACACCCCCTCAACGGTTTGGGGAGAGCTCGTGGTCTAAGTAACGAGAGGACTTCTGACTGTAATCCTAGCACGTCACTTTGTTGAAGGCAAACACGTGGTTCAGAGAGAACTTATAAATCTCTGCTCCCCGGCAAGATCGTGATGTTATCTGCTGGCAGCAGAAGGTTCGCTCCGATCGGGGCTCCAGAAGCTCCCGACAAGACAGAGAGAGAGACAGAGAGACAGAGAGAGAGAGAGAGAGACACAGAGAGAGAGAGAGAGAGCAGAGCAAGTGAAAGAGGCAGGGGGAGAGGGATGGAGAACGTTAGTATAACGGTCTAGGGAGTCACTCAAGAGCAAACTCGCGCTGCCCGGTTGCAGAAGAGAGGAGAAAGAGGGTCTAATTCTGGGTGGCAAGTGCCTACCTGCCCTAAGCGAGACAGTCCACGTGGGGGAGAAAACAGGAGAGGCTGGGAAAGGGTGGGAGTCCAGGGGAGCCCTTACGCAACCCCCGTAGGAATAAAACTCCCCAGCCATCGCATCCCAGGGGCTGCCGTTGTGGTCCGCAGGGGGTGAAAGCAACGGCGGCGGAGGCTGATCGGCGGCCGGGTTGGCGTTTCGAGCGAGAGGAGGAGCGGGAGAAGGCGGGAGCCGGAGAGCGGACGCGTTTGCAAGCGGCGGCGGCGGCGGCAGCGGCGGCGGCAGCAACGTGGAGTAACCAAGCGGGTCCGCGCACCGCCCGGGTGGAGGCCACAGCGCGCAGCTCCGGGAGCAGGATCCTCGCGGCGTCCGCGGCACCCGACCGAGTCCCGAGCGCCGAGCGCCGAGCGCCGAGCGAAGCGCACCCGCCTCCCCGCGGCGCGCCGGGCTCGCCCCCAGCGCGCGCACCCTCGCGCACGCACACACACACGCACACACACACACACGCACACACTCTCACACACACACACACACACACACACACACACACACGTGTGCGCTTCTCCGCTCCCGAGCTGCTGCTGCTGCTCCTGCTCTCAGCTCCGCAGTGGAAGGCAGGGCCGAACCGCTCCTTCTTGAAATATATAAATTACAGCCCGGCTCAGCCTCGGCGGCCCCCCTTGCAGAGCTCCCGGCGCCCCTCCCGTCAGTTCGCCAGCTGCCAGCCCCGGGACCTTTTCATCTCTTCCCTTTTGGCCGGAGGAGCCGAGTTCAGATCCGCCACTCCGCTCCCGAGACTGACACACTGAACTCCATTTCCTCCTCCTAAATTTATTTCTGCTTAATAGCTACTCGGTCTGTTTTTCCCCCCACATCTGGCTGCTCCAAGAAAAATTTTTCTTGCTCCCCAAAGTCAGGGTTCCCCCTGCCCATCCCGTATTAATATTTTCACTTTGGGAACTCCTTGTCCTTTCTTTTTTCTTTTTTTTTTTTTTTTAAAGGAATCAAGCAAGATACATTTTTTTATTGGGCATTGACTTTCGATTGTTTGCAAAAGTTTCGCATTAAAAACAAACAAACAAACAACTCTCCCCGATCTGTACTTAGAGAATTGTTCGTTTCTTTGTTTTCTGCTTCTTTTTGTGAAAACAAAAACAAAAACAAAACTTTTTTCCACCTTTTTAAAAAATGCACTACTGTGTCCTGAGCGCTTTTCTGATCCTGCATCTGGTCACGGTCGCGCTCAGCCTGTCTACCTGCAGCACACTCGATATGGACCAGTTCATGCGCAAGAGGATCGAGGCGATCCGCGGGCAGATCCTGAGCAAGCTGAAGCTCACCAGCCCCCCAGAAGACTACCCTGAGCCCGAGGAAGTCCCCCCGGAGGTGATTTCCATCTACAACAGCACCAGGGACTTGCTCCAGGAGAAGGCGAGCCGGAGGGCGGCCGCCTGCGAGCGCGAGCGGAGCGACGAGGAGTACTACGCCAAGGAGGTTTACAAGATAGACATGCCGCCCTTCTTCCCCTCCGAAAGTAAGTACTGATTTTCGCTTCCATCCCCCGAGGTTCAGCGCTGCCTGGGAGCTCGCAAAACCGCAGCAGCCCCGGGGATCGCCCTTCCCTCCCCCGGTTGCCCAGCGCTCTCTCCCCGTCCTCCGCCCCATCCACCTCCTTTCCACTTGTGTGCTTGAGCCCGTCAGCCTTCGAAACGTTAACTTTCTGCTTTATTTTCTCCATCTCTCCCTTCCCCCAACGCCTCAGTCCTTTCTAAGGCGTTTTGCTCTTTTTCTCTTCCCTGAAATTCTTTACTCGGCCACCAGCTTGGAGTCAGCCCTCCTCTGTCAAACTAAGGCGCTCCCTGGGGCAGAGTTAAACCGGGAAATCTTGGTAGGTTTGTTTTCTTTGCTCCGATTGACGTGGAGCGCGCCGAACTGGTGCATGAAGGGTTAAAAAAAAAAAGAGGCTCAAAACTAGCCTCTCCGGAAGGCGCCCCCTTTCCGTGCTGACCTATCAGCTGGTTCCCCAAGCCTTCCCCATTGTCTCTAACTCCCCTAAAAAAATGTCAGCATCCAGGAAACAAAACCCGGTGTGGAGACCCCTCGAGAAACCTCCCTGGAAACCCTCAATCCGTGATGCATCTATTGCCATCCCTAGGCGTGTAATTACCCAGTGGCAAAATCTTGTAACCACGTCCCCTTTTGACTTCACCTGGAGTGACAGAAAGGACAACTTCGTTTCTGACTGTGTTTAAAAAGGTTTCAGTTTACGTTATTTTTCAGAATTCACCCCAAACCTGCCTTCTTAAAAATCTCCGGTGTAGCAGATCATTTTTCATTTTTCTCAGGGGCTTATTGTTGATCTTTTTCAACCTTGAGCACTGTGCTCTTGCCTTTTCATAGGCTTTCTGTAGTTACTTCGGTGCATTCCTAAAACTCAGAGTAGAAGACAGCCGGATTTTTTTTTTTTTTTTTTTAAACTGGCTTCTACTGTGTTGCCTGCCCAAGAGTGAGTGCCGTGGCGTCATGCTGGCTTGAGCTCAGGAGTTCAAGATCAGTCTGAGCAAGAGCAAGACCCCATCTCTTTTTTTTTTTTTTTTTTAAACTGGCTTCTGGCTTCTCTGAGAACAGTGTCCTCAAAACCAGCTGGCATACAGTAGCAATGGGAGTGAAATGATTTATTGTGGAGCTCTTTTGGGGGAAGGGAAGAAGAGAGTTAGCATAGAATTATTTCAGAGTTCTTAAAACAAAAAAAAAAAAGAGAGAGAGAGAAGCAGTAACCAGTGATACCTGAGAGGGTTAAATACCAGGAAGAAGAAAAAGAAAAGGAAAAAAAAAAAAATCACTTGTACATTTGTGTATTCCAAATCCCAAGTTGTAAACTTTTCATTGGTTGCTCATTCCTCTCCTCCCCTTTCCATGCCCTATATACTTGCTGGCTGCCTTTGCAAAGTCTCTGTGTCTTGCCTAAATAGATAATACAGCCATCTTGGTAATTTTACCCTTGCAGGGTGGTGCTTTTCTTTTTTAATATTTATTTTTAGTTGGACAAGTCCTAGCCCTGTGACTTGCCATGTCTTGTACTTGATGGTCTCGAAATGTCAGCCCATGCATCTAACCCCAGTCTTTCTGGTTGACCTTTATTTCGCTGCAGGTTCTGCTCTTCTTGTTCAATAGCAGAACAGATGCAGGGAATTCTGGCAAGCAGGATGATTTTATTATTGTAATTATGGCACTATCCACAGCAGTGGTGATAAATATACTCCACCCTGGTTATCCCCCTGGGGAAGTAAAGCTTTCTCTCTGGGGTGGAGCCAAGGAGATATTAGGAGAGCAAGTTCATTGTAATTAGTCCAAAACCATTGAGTCGGAACAGGGAGTTGAGTCAGTTTGCTTTCTCTAGCACGTGCATCAGTTCTACTGGTATTTGGGCAGATAGGCAAGTATGTTATGTAGAACCTGAAATAACTCATCCTTCAATGTTTACATGCAGAAGCTCTAATAAACCGCCGGTACTTTTATAACACAGAGAGGAGATCTGATCTTATTATTGTATAGGTATGGAGAGAGCAAGTAACCCAAGAGGGCGTTAATTTTTGTTCTCTCAAGCACACTTTGGTCTGAAGAGCTGAGATGGTCCAACCCAGGATCACGGGGTCATCAACAAATTAGAAAAATTCCTAGATTATTAGGAGGGTTTCGGAACATGGCATTTAAGATCATTGTGTGCATTCTCTTCTCCCTTTCACCCCTAGCTGCCAAATAAATTAAAATTTCTGGTAAGTCCAGGATAAAATATATACTACCAGTTTTCATACAGAAAATACAGGCTTTAAGTTTAGGAGCAGAAAGCCATATTAATAGCAGATTCGATACTACTGTGCAAGGACTGTGGATAATTTTATAGAAAGTAGGTTAACTGATTTTCCAGCACTTTCTAGTTATACTGGAATATAGCGAATCCTTCCAAAAAAAAGGAAGAAAAGAAAAAACCCATATTTTTAAAAAGCAAATTGAAAGTACAGCATTGGCTTATATACCGACTTTCCCTCTTTAGGACTTTTCTGCTTCACTTTTAACTCGGCTGTCACTGAGGGAGTGTGCCTGTCATTTCTTGCAGTGAATCCGGCAAGGGTCATAAGCCCCAGAGATGAAGGCATGGGAAAGATCACTGGTTCATTTTTTACCACCGACTTATTAGTGTTCGGGGAGTGACTTCAGCTCAAGTATTACAAATATGCTCTAATTATACTCAATGAGCTATATATCATTACAGATTGCTGATAGCCCTTTATGGGACATTTTATAAAGTTCAGACTAAATATTTTTAGCAATGCGGAGATTTAAAAGTAAAAATATAAGAGATATTGTATATGCCCTCAGGCATATTTTGTCTTAAATATTATCCTTGGCCAAGTGTACTATATAAATACTGTAAATATGAATAGAACTGGCCAGGTGCCAATCTCCTAGGATGAATTTTAGTCAAGAATGTATTTATGGGATATAAATAATACTGTGTCAACATTTAAAGAAGGGGTCCGATTAGTTTTGAATTTATTCATATTGATCTTTTCACATGCTGTTAGTTTAAGGCTCAAAGTGGAGTTATGCTAAGGTTTACCGATAGTTTGCCCACTGGGAATTAGTGGCCTTCTAGTAGTTTGACAGTCCACATGATGTTCAAGGCATATCTATTCAAAAGACACTGCAGGAGATTTTAGAAATTTAGAAAGAGTGATTTCATTCAATACGGAAAGAATCCAAATAATTGACTTGCAAAATCTGTAGTGGCTTGGACAATCAAAAATTGAAAGAGACAAAAAGTTTCATTTTCTTTCTTTCCTCTCCCTTTTTCATTGTAACAATCAGCACATGTTGTGGTTCTAACCCTGGTGATTTTGTACACCCTTCTTTTCCCTCCACTCCCACTGGAACTTTTGGCAAAGTCTGGAGACATTTTTGGTTGACTGGAGGTAGGGGGGTGCTATTGGCATTTAGTGGGCAGAAGCCAGGGATGTTTCTAACTATTCTATAATGCACAGGACAAACCCCCCCTTCCCCCATCAAGGAATCACCCAGACGAAAATGTCAGTAATGCCCATGTTGAAAAGCCCTGATAGCCCTGGTATTTATTTTGGGTAACTGAATTCTGTTAGTAATATTATTTCAAAAGTAATAATAAAAATAAAAGATCTTTATGATCCAAGGATATTAAAATGAGAGCATTGAATAGGAGGATAATTAGAAGGTTACCTTAATTAAATGGAGTATGGATTAAACCATTTTGTATGGTATATTCTTTATTATTGCCATCTTAAATCACCTAAATTAGAGACATCAAAGCTTCCCATGTATTTAGTCTGAGTAATGGTATTGACCCATCCATTAGTAACTTCAGTCAGCAGCAGTGTGTTGTTAGAACAGAGAAAAAAGAAGTGAGGAATTATCTTGGGTTTTCCTTGCAGTGAAAATAAGTAGTTTGTGTTAATAAAGAGTGGAATCTCCAAGCTAGGCAACAGAAGAAAGCAAATAATCATGTTGGTTTATTCTACCATATTGAATTAGATAAAACTAAAATATACAGACTGAAAAATCACAATGAGATTTCTTTTGTAATTGTTTCACATGAATGTGAAATATTTAATACCAAGCAATCTCCTTTTCTATTTCCTCTGTAATTTTCCAAGTCAAATTGTGGAATGTAGAATGAATACCAATGACACTATGGTTTGGGGAAATGTGACTTAGCTTTCAACTCATGAATTATGTCTTTCTATAAACCAAATTGCTGGTCTATTGACCAGTTGCCCAGTGGAGGAAAATATTAGC